CGAATTGGAAAATTGAGTCCCACTGCTTGACTTGCTGTCGCTAATTAAAGGGTCAGTCCGGCCGACGCTATGACTAGTGGATACGAAGCTTACCGTTTTGACGATCCTGGAGACTCATCGTCAACAGACTGGTTGCGATTTTTGCTGCCAGGATGGCTGAAGCCACTGAAGCGAGGAAACTTTGAAGATCTCTCTTTTTCTTGTGTCTTGCGCTGCTCTTTTGCCTTTTCTACTTCCGTCTTGCTCAGCACCCGGAAGGCGCCAGAATCAGCAGGTGCAGTTGTGGTGACTGGACTCGTTGCGATGTCGACTTCGTCGAACACGTTGCCCTGAGACTTCCGGCGGGCGGTGAATATCCCTAGGCCTGGCTTGCCCATGTTGTCGAGTTGTGGTTTCCAAGTACGAGAAGCGACCAATGCCTCGGGCGGCCTATTCTGATGTGAGATGCGCTATCATATACTTCAAGACGGGCGATGCGTGGCGGTTGTGGTCGAGGAAGGAGCGACGGGTGCGGTCAGGAAGGAGCCAAACGTGGGGATGGGCAGGGAATGAATGGACGACTTGATCTAAACGTCTGGTATTAGCTCTGATTTTACGTGCCACTGGCGATGCAGCGTGCTGGCGCAGTGTCGAGAGATGGGGTGAGCGGGCGCGGCGGTGTTGCTGTGAGAGCTGAGTCGGGAGCGTCGTTGAGGGCAACTTCGTATTACCGCGTTTCAACGTCAGGGCCGTGTCGATCTAGCCGCGTATTGATAATATTATGCGCCTCGAGGGATTCGCTTGCAGTACGCGGGGGCAGGAAAGCTCGTCGTGGCAAGATGCGCCTCTGCCACTTTCCAGCGCATCGCCTGGGCCGCTTGTTGGTTTCGAGTGCGGCGTTGCTCAATCCTTCCGGGGCCCGGGAGTTGGGTGGGTTGGGTGTGCGACTTACCAGACACGAGGCGGGTAGCAGCAGCAGCACCTGTTCAACGAGTGACAATGTCTAATTGCAGACGGCGGCGACGCGATGATGTAGTCGGAGGGCACGCGCGGAGAAAACGGCGGGATCATGAACGAGTATAAGGGCGCGCACGGATGGCACAAAGCGTAGTCAGGAGTGCGCCGTCCCATCATCTTCACTCAACTGCCCACTGCCCTCTCGCTCGGCCGGGCCTGCATCTGCCTGGGTACCGAACCAATGGCATCCTCCCGCAGTAGGCATAGCGCCAAATCGAGCGGCCATGAACTGCCATGTTGGGTTCTGCCATGTACAATTGCGTCTTGACGGCCATTGCAGTTTGCCCATGGCGCGTCGAACGCTGGTACGATTCCTGCTGTCTTGCACGTAGCTGCGAGGCTGCCGTGCAGCTTCACACATAAGCCCACCTGTTGAGTCGACGGCTGCAAACTGCTGGTCGAGGGTGCTGGTACAGTAGTGTAGCCTCCTAGTCCGACCACCATCCATGTCCGGGACCCTCATGCCAAAATTAGATGGCTAGGCCAAGAGAACTCATCAACCATGGTCTTTCCAGGGCCGCACGCTCGTTGCTCGCTACCTGATAACAACGCCTGATCGACAGTATCGACGCGCAGTCCGCTCGACGTCATCAACACCTGCCATGTGCAAATTCTCACTGCGCCTGGTGTTTCGGCCCTGGACACAAGACCCTTCGTATTACACTGCTCCACAGCATAACGGACCCTCTCGGACCATGCCCGCGGTCGGCGCGATACCGTCGAGCCAAAATTACAACCAGCCCACATCTGTCTAGCGGCCCTGGTCCATAGGCACCGTGGAAGCTTGAATGGCTATGAGTCGAGCCACAAGCCAGGGCTGTCGTTGCTTGTGATTACTGCACGCCAGGATATGTGATGCTCCATTCAGCCTGCAGACTCCGAGATGACACTTCTGCAAGACGAGACACTTCGCCGCCCGGGCACTTCTCTTGCTCGTGCCTAACATGCAGCTGCCTGCAGGCTCGCTACCCGGTGCGAAAACATCGCCCAAGCCCGCGCGCTTGCTCTAAACCCTGCTGGATTCCCGTCTTAACGATATCTAGCTAAGAGAAGAAAGCCTGTTTACACTTCACATTTGCTGCGCGCATTTGTTGTTGGGCGCACAAATTGCTTTGGATCATTTCCCTCCCAGATCGATTTCAGGAGGCTGCTGGTGGCTTGCCAATGTTGCCATGATGAGAGCACAGACGCTGCCGGGCAGGCCGCTACTGCATATTTCTCCTTATGGCTACACGCATGCAAGCCAATACCAACCTCGCTGATCTGGAGGAAAGCGTTCAGTTCGTGAACTGCGACCACCTCTCTCCACCGCCATGGCAGGACGTCATGATTACCATTACTTTGCGGCCCTTTTTCGACGCAAAGCACTCCGAGCTGTTGCCGGGTCTGTAACGCGTCTCATCGAGAGAGTTTTTCTTGTTCCAATCGTACGATTTGCTGCGCTTCTGCAGCTGCATGGGCTGAACGCGGCTCGCCAGCTTCCCGGGCGCTCGCTGTTGGCTTGCACCCTAGAGTCGTGTTCGACGAAGCGCTGCAGCATTACTGCGGGACATGACGCCGTCTCTTTTAGCTCTCCCGCCCCTCATTAATTCCAACCTCTCGTTTGCTTCAATTTCAACGTTCTGTTCACCCCGCCTGCGAACGCGTAATCGTGATCTGGGGGTCGGTCAGCTAGCCTCACCCTACTTGCGTCTCAACACGTTCGATCGATCTGCGCTCGGCTCTCACTGTCAGCTCGGCTCCTGGAGATCAGCCGACCCAAATTGGTTGGCATTCGCTCATACCGCATGTGTTCCCAGCTGGTGACGGAACTTTTTGTTAACTGTACAAAGTGTTCATTGTCGGTGCCTTGCTTCTGAACTCGCGCGGTAACTCGCAAGCAGGACCTGCCGGCTTTTCAATTTCGCTTTATCCACATTGCTATCACGACTCCTTGTCTTAGCATCCTCAATGCCAAGACGTCGCAACAGGATTTCGGAAGGTCCAATGAAGGAATTTCGGCGAGACCGTTACATCCTCGATAGTCTTCTGTTATGACCGCGTCAACTTTGTAGCGAGTCTCGGGCATTTTGCTTCTTTGCTGTCGGCTTCACCTAGTTTGCTTTGTTTTCCGTTTCTAGTCTGTTGCCATCCGCCCGGTACCGTGTGGAGATGGGACAGAACACTCATGCAAGAGACGTCTCTGCGTCCGGTCATGAGACTCGATAGCGGTGTATGGCCGGGCTAGGACCATGGTCACATTTGACAGGTCTGGTGAATGTAACGGCCGTGTATCGGAAGACGACAGCATTCTTCTGCTCGAATGGGCGCACACACGGCGACTGTGTAGATGCCGCACTGATCATATCTGCGGTGCTTTGGTTTTGACGCAGGGTAATGCTAAGAGCTCACGCACCGTTACGTCGATCGAGATGAGCAGGTAGGATCAGGTTTTTACATATCGGAGAACGTCTGTCGCTGAGAAAGAGTACGGGTGGCACTAGGAGAGAACGTGCTGGTGAAGACAGATAGTCTGAGTGTACTCCAAGGGCGGGCGCGTTACGACTGAGTGCAGCTTCCCAAATGTCTGCACCGAGGCTACCGCGGACTCACCGAAGCGCATGGACGCTCGAAAGGGTCCAATGACGCAACTGCGTAAACAGTGACAACGCTCAATCTAGCCCAACACTGCAATTGCTTCTTCTCGTCTGGTGGTCAGACCCCCACACTTCACTGGCGCTACTCCACGACTTTCCTCTTACATCGGCGGCAATACCAGCAATCAGGCCTCAGCAGAACGTACGAAAAACAAAATCTGGTCAGCTTCCGCGCAACATGCCGACTGAGTTCCTCGATCTTCCACCCGAGCTCCGCAACGAGGTGTACAATATTCTGTGGAAGGACACACCTATTTTTGAGAAGTACTATGACGTCCGGAACTCCGTCATCGTACGGCGCTCCAAGAACACGTGTTGGAACAGCTTGACTGGCGAGAACACTGCACTGCCTTTATGGCTTTTATCGTGTCAACGGATCCTTCAAGAAGGCATTGCGGAGTTTCTGTTTCGAAGTCACTGGTCGATACAGTCGAACGGTCGCGTTGACCTTGCGCGCAGGCCTGGGATATTCCAACCTTCCGAAGCTCGTGATATCTCCTTTCACTTCTTCGACAGTCTTTGGGCAGAGCTTCAGCTTTCTGAAGATACATCACCATTGATGTATCACACACCCGATGCGGAAACTATTGACGTGCTCTCGCAATGGGCGAGCAAAACAGGCAAAGCCAGGGGCTTACACATATCATTCATCATTCCTGATGATGGTGATGGGATGTTTGATGAAGAGTTGGATTTGTCCAGCATTGCCAGCATTGCGTTTGCCCACGACAGTCTCTCAGAACTCTCAGTTTCGCTGGAAACCGAATTTCCGCACAGGATTCATGAGGAGTTCAGAAACACCACCGCGCGCGAGGTCAGGAGGTTAGCCTCGTTCATGATGTTGGCAACTGTTTCCGAAGCAGCTATTGAACCTGATTGTGACTCCGAGAGAGATTGCACGACCTTCACTGTCTATCGCCCGCGTGGCCTCCCCTGATCAACCTACCCTTGGAACGAGCCAACGATCTGGGAGAACCTTGATTGAACATGGGTAATTTGTGCTGGTGGGACAGCACACAGTTAATGGCTCATTCATATATGGTACGACAACCGTTATCGCAGGGATACTGGAGGCAGTATTCAATCGTCTTGTTTCCCCACTTCATCCCATTACATTGCAGAAGGCCCGCAATGCATCCCCTCTCTCCGCAATTTGGAAGATGGACATATATTGCGCTCATGCATGGATCGCTAACTGCCGAACCTGGGCATATTAGCCTCATATACCGTTTCAACTGGCCGGAGAGACGGCCCCATCCATAGCCAGATAGCTCTGAACTTCAGCTGATAGCCATAAAAAGAGTCAAATCAACATCTTGAACCATTAAAGGGAAGTAGACTTGATTTAAGCCGTACCTACTTGCAAGAATGCGCAGCCTCATTGCCATCGTGGCCATTGCCTTTGCAACACAGATCTCCGCAGCATGTACCCGCGAAGCCCTCAAATCTATCACAGACGAATTCCTCGCCGCTCAAACTGCGGGACAAACAACCTTCCCTTCCCTTTCTAGCACCGTCGCATACACCGAAAACCGGAAGAGCGTCGACATCAAAACTAGCATTCTCTCCAAACCCATGAAAATCGACCATGCCCGGGCCCAACACGACACAACTCAATGCGCTGGGTTCACTGAGTTTATTGTCATCAACACCGCCGCGCCGTATGTAATCGCAACGCAACTCCGTCTCGACAACAGCACCAAAGTATCGCAAATCGACACCATCTGGACAAGCAAAGGAGACTGGCTCTTCAACGTCACAGGCACATACTACTGGGCCACGCGTGAGAAGTGGGATCCTATCCCCGCCGCCAACCGCGATACGCGTGCTGTCATCAAAGCAGCAGGAGATGCCTACTGCGATCTCTTCAACAACAAAAGCGTCACAGTGCCGTGGGGCTCGCCGTGCGCTCGCCTCGAAGGTGGTGCCTATACAGGCAAGGGCGAGGCGACGGATAGATGCGACGTCGGTGTTCCGAGCGGTGTGCCGCTGGTCAACAGGCAATATGTTATCGACGAAGAGTATGGGACTGTGGATGTTATCATGGATTTTGGAGGTGTGGCAGGACAGGTTGGGGCGGATGGGTTGCCGGATAGTCATGAGTTTAGGGTTGAAGGGGGGAAGTTGAGGTACGTGCACACGCTTTCAAGTTGTGGTGGGAAGGCGTGCATATAGGATTTGGATGCATTGATGTGCGCATGTGGGCACGTGAGGGTCATGGGCGTTGGGCAATGAGTAGAATGAGGTTGAATGATCGAAGTTTATGAGAACCATGTGATAGTTACCTGGCAAAGGGGCAAAAGGGCAAAAGGGAAATCCAGTCATATCACATGTTAGTGTTAATCGTGCACTTTTGAGAGGCCGTTGTTATGCTATAGGATTTTTAGGTTATAGGTTATGATAGGAATAATCACGATCCCAACAGAGGACTCACTCTTCAATCATCCTGACCACTACTCTCGCCATGTTCCACTTGTGCGCATGGCTTCCACTTCGAAACTCCATCAGTCTTCAATCCCCATACCACATCACCACATCTCCGTCAGCATCGTACCACGCCTCTGCACAGCCTCTTACGTCCAGGTAATCCACCCACTCATCATTCTCCACGGCCAGTGCTTTCGTCACTCTCTTCAGAACACCAGATGCATTGCCATCGAAGCCGCCAAGAAGTGATCTATCCGCTTGACTTATCTCCGTATCGTCTCGCACAACGTGGTTGATGGATTCGCGGACATGCGGGACTTGTGGCGCATCTGTCATGACGACATCTCCGGACCCGTCGATGGAAGAGGCGCCGTGTATGATTCCGTTTCTGCACACGAGTCTCTTTTCAACGAGAACAGAGTCAACGTAGTTATGTAGACGCCAAGTTTTGCACTTAGAGGTATGTGTGAATGCCCAGATCAGTACTTCAGGTTGGGTCTGTATTGCAAGCTCACAGATGCCTGCCAACCTTGCAATCTCGGTGCCACTGATAGTGAGTGGCCATATGGAGCTGCTATCCTCGCCGTTGCGTTGTCTTGGTAGATCAGAGGGAAATGACTCATCCCACTAGTTTAGCCAATGGTTCCTCTTACGTCCCAGTGGGATTGCTGTAGAGGCATTATAGGCATCCCAGCTCTTAGCGTTTTGCTCCATCTGCGATAGACGAATGACGTCTGGGGGAACGCTGTACAATAGGAGAGTGTCGCCGTAAGCCACGATGACGCGGACTCCCTGGGACAAATCCGCAGCCGCACTATACAGCCTTGGTACAGCGTTCTGTTCTGGCGGAGTGAACGTGATCTTTCGAAGAAGCTTCGTAGGTCCGCCAAGAGGTGCGTCGCAGCCTAGTGTCAATAGGCCGTTGACAGGGTCGATAAACAGGACGTGATACCCGTCACTTAGCGGAAGTGCGTGATAGTGATCACAACTAGGTGAACCTGGGCGATCCGTCGCAGATTCAAACCCAAATGAACCCCAGAATGACGCCATGGTGGGCCGGCCGAAGAATTTCCGGCTAATGGCAGGCCGATCTTCTGGATGTGCTGCACTGGAAATAAGACGGAGCTTCTTGGCAGATTCGAAACCTGGTCGTGGCGAAAGAAAGTACAAGTGATCGCCTGCTGGATGTTAGGCGCATGGTAGACCAAGGAGATTTGTACTTACTCGGTGCTGTGAGCGGAAACTAACGACTCAAACTCTGTCCTGTGAGCGCATCAATCCAATGCAACTCGATTCCTGCTGAGCATCCAAAGGCGACGCAGCGACGTTGCGGGCAGATAGAAACACTGCGTGGCGGATCATCTTCAGCGCAGAGATGACGGTATATCGTCGTGGTTCCCCTTTCGACAGGAACGGTGTGAACGCATGACTCGAAGGTGCAAAGCCCATGGGCAGAAGGCCTTCGTGAGGGTCCGGAGATGTTAAGGTTCCATGCGTGATTGACGAAGTGTTGATCGTGGGTTTGATGATCGTCCGTATTCTGGAGGTCGATGCGCTGGTTGTTCGACCTTACGCCAATCGTGTCGAAGGCTGCGGGATCTCGCTCTTGGACGAATGGACGATGCATTCGAGCCATGTTGCGTCCTTGAGGACTCATCCCAGCCTCATAGTCATTGATACAGCTAGTCTGCATAGACGCAGATGTGGTGACACCCTTCTCCGGCCCATCAACATCAACATGGACATCGACGGAACTGTTGCCTCCGACCGTACGTCCATAGTGGAGCTCACAAACCAGGCCCATGCGTCCTTCGAGAAGCGCTGCGATAGCGTGTCGACCAGAGGAGACGTCCATGCTCATTTCGATAACCCTTCTTGGGCATACGACGCTAGTGATGGGCATTGGAAGTCCACTCTCGAGGTCGTAGATGTAGATTAGGGTTTCTCGTGCGATACATACAAACCGACCACAGAGACTTGTGGAAAATACCAACCCATTAGTATACCCATTGGCTAGCTCAGTGAAGTCGATGTCAGAGCGTTTTACGATAGCGGCTCTGATGTCCAGTCCGTTGCCGCTCCATCCAGATGACAAAGCACACTGCCGCGCAAGGTATCGACTCAGTGACCATTCTTCGCTGTGCGAGACAGCGGCCGCAATGGGATGAAAAGCAGCACCATGCGTTGTGCAAGTAGTATTCTTAGTGCTACTCAGCCAACCACCTCGGCTTAGCATTGCATTGAGCAGTTTCTTATCGAGACTTGCCCGCATCCAGTGCCGGCACGTATGGCGTACGGCGTTGAAGTATTTTGGGCCGAGGTAATCGTATACGTGCTGAAGAATCTCAATTGGAAGGTGGTATGAGTTGGGAAAGGTCGGTGGTGCTGCCACGCTCAAAGCGAGATACCAAGCACGATTTGTCAGCCTCAACGCCTTCCATGCAGCCGTATCCAAGTACGGTGAGAGGAGCATAGCAAAAGTACGAACCGGAGACGTAGGTGCGTGCCCAACAAGATTGGGATTACTGCACGTAGCCTGACCTTGTGCAGGAGTAAAGAATGGAGAGCCGTCCCCAAGCGCGATGACAAAAGGGCTTTCATCTTCTTCTGACGGTGTGCGAACGCCGAGTAGAACATCAGTCACGGTTCGAGTGATGCCTTGATCGGTACCAGGCTCCAGGATCGCATCCTCAATGATGCTGGCACTGTCGAGCATCGAAAAGGAGTCGGTCCGCGCTCGTCGTAGTAGTTGTACGTCGCTATTAGTTTCTGCGAGACTGGGAAGGCGAGACAATGAGTCGCTGTAAGACCCTACGGAGCGGAGGCTTGGTCCGCTGAACATGAACGTGGCAGGCGAGACCATGTCTAGGCTGGGTACTGAGCCGTATAACGAGGACCCAGGCCTGGACCCAAAGCTAGATGCTCGCGATCTTGCTTCCGGACTATCTGCTATCACATTACGATCTGGGGCGCTACCGAAGAGCGAAGTGATGTATCTGTGGAAGGCCACTCGCGGCCTAGATTGTAGACGGGATGCGAGAGCAGTATTGGAACGGTCGGCTTTGGCAACTCGAGGTAGGGTCTTCCGACTATGAGGGATACGGGTTCGTGAAGGTCGAGGAAAGACATGACGAAGAACTTCGGAGCGTCTTGGGACTGGTGATTGCGCTTTGCTTGTATTGTCCGGGGTGGCTTCGTCTAATGGCATCGTCTGCGATAGGGTTGCGTCAGCCAGGAGTGGGGTCGTCATTGCGTAGTCCATTGCGTGCGACATTTGTTCGCGGTGGGAACGGGGCGGGGTGAGAGACAGTACGCGCGTTGTTGGCGATCCCGAGAACGAGGCTACCTGAAGAGGTTCGAGTTGTATGATAGGAAACGCTGATTCGGACTTGGTTTCCGCCACCCCACGCGAAAGGTATATCTGAGAAGACGTGGTTGAAGCACCCCCGTGATGGAGGTGCACCGTTGGTTCAAGGTGAGTTGCTGATAATAATGACTAGCAAGGAGATCAGAAGAGTGTTAGCCAGTTCAGAGGATGTGACTACTTTCAAATGACGAAAGAATGCGTGGCGTGGTATGGGTATCGCGTCTCAGAAGTGCCTGCGGTGAGTGGGTGAAGAACGTGAGGTACAAAAGGGTAAGAACATAACCAAATTCATTGCGGTAGTGGGTATCAACGAACACAAACCAGGAAAGAACGACGACTATACAAGGTGGTGAGGATGTCAGATGCATACAAGAAGGAGCATCGCTAACCTTGTCGAGGAAAGTGCGCCTGGGCTATTCCCAGCTGCCATTGGCATCATCGGTCCCAGATCCATGAGATCCGTTCTGAGGTCTTCCGTGCTTCTGCAGTAACCACACATCATTCAACGGCATGATGAGACTGGGGTTCTGGAATCGCAGGCCGCGTTCGCGGGCTTCGTCTAGTGTGAGTCTGCCTGCTTGCCCATTGGCGACCGCTTCTTCCTGAACGTCGCGTCCAAGCTCCGATTGTTCCGGACTTCGCAGGCTCCGTAAAGCGATGAACTTCATCAGTGGCCGATAAGTGCGCGCAAACACAACAAGGAACCACAGTGTGCAGACTACGAGCGGTGCTACCATGACGGCCCGTTTGAACGCCTTCTTCAGAGCCAGTTGACCAGCCACAGTGATTTGGAACAGTACGACACCGACGAGAACGCGGTCACACATCATTGTCCAGCCTTTGCCAGTCGAGTGTTGTCTGTGCTCCATTGCATACAAGAGTTGATACTTGTGCACAAAGTGACCAATCATAAAATAGGCCAAGCCAGTGAGCAGAACCATCCATGAGTCTTGCAACACACTGTAGACGATACAGATGATGAAGATCAAGATGGTTTGCGGCAAGAAGAACCCGTAACTGAAGACCGGTGGTTGTACCAGTTCGGCGTAATCTCTTGGAGTCTTGGCGCCAATCAGATAGACCGGGTACAGAGAAAGGGCACCAAACTCCAAAAGTCGGAATGGAAACAGTCCGAATCCCTGAAGGATGATGAAGTTGGTGTAAAAGCCGAGTAGATTAGAGAGCGATGTAGCCAAGGCGTATGCAATTTGCGTAGCGCTTGTAAGCTTCTCGGCGAAGCGTTCAAGCATTGCCAGGAAACCGGAAGCAGTCCCCAGTATGGTGAAGAGAATGAAGAAGTTGAAGAAGACGAAGAAGAAGTTCTTCGAAATTACTGATAGCTCAACATCGCCCTGTGAGATCATCCCTTGCTTGTTGGCAA